TAGAGCAGCAGGAAATGCCAGATGGTTTATCTCATACAGTTTGTTCCAACAAGGTGGTGAGACACCAGAAAGGACACAGGCTTTGACCACAGGCAAAGATTCTGGTAATTCAGAGAGGAGCTGTTCCTCATGGAGATCAGAAAGTGATTTCTGCTGACCTCTCTCCACCTAACTTAAGCTTGAACTGAGCAGAAGTCAGCTGCTGGGATTTTTATCCCCATACACTCTGCACACTGCCATGTGCATGAAGCTTACCTCCAAGGAGAACGACAACACAACATCTGACTTGGAGAGCTGGTTCTCATTTTCTTCTCCCATGTCAATTATTGAGGTGTTGTGACTACGTTTCAGCTTCTGCAGCTTGAACTCGGAGCCTCCTTTAGACACAGGCATGCTCTCCAAGTTTGCCATCAGGAGATTGACAGACGACTTCAGCTCCTCAATGTACATGTTTTCCATTTCTTTGGACACAAACTTCGGAAACTTGCGCTCCTTGAATTTGGAAACAAAAACAACAGAATGAATTGTGGTGGCAATCAGCAACCACTTGTTGCACTGGGAGAATCCGCCCAGGAGCATCTGCAGAGAAGTTTGCGAGCGGGGAACTCCCACAAACCAGATGACAAATTACAGCTTCCCCTTGTGTAATGAAGAAACATTATTGTTAACTTCCCATAGAATTACTACTTGGTACTTATCCAGCTTTACTTGCATGCACTTGCATTTCATTCATTCATTTTAACTGCAAATGGCCGCCTTCATATATATGTATTCACAATTACAAACACTCCAGGCTAGATCTCAGCTGAACTTTGTGATTGGCAGCAATTTACTAATGACTCAAAGGATGCTGACAGTTAGGGACTTGTTTTCCAGTCTCCCAAATGTGCTGGTTCTTTTTAAAACACTTCGTTACTTTTCTAGGTGTGAGAGGAGACCAAGGAGGCAAAATCAGCAATGCGCGGGCAGGACTTTGTGGTGCCAATTGGAAGAAGGGGTAAAACACCCTTTCCACTACTTGCCAGGGCCCGTGTCACCCTCCAACAAGACAACCTTTCACGGTGAGACCCTCCAGTGCTGCTTGTTGTAAGCAGGACATTTAAACATTAAAACCAAAGGTGACAGTGAGAGCAAAACGTGATGTTCCCCAGCATGTGTTCTCAGCTTTGAACTGCTGCCCATGCTCCAACTCTGTTAGGATCACTGGTCTGAGCCCTACATCTTCTGACAACTCTGCCCATGCCCCGAATCTGCTCGGGCTTTGGACGTCTCTCAGTGGGTTACGAGAGACTGCGCAAGGCAGCATCTGCAGCCAGAGAACTTGAGGCTGATGTGCAAAGTGTCGTAATCGCAATTCATAATATTGTAAAACGCAGTTTGTAAAATGTATGCTGGAAAAGAAAACAAGGTCATGTTTCTTCTGGAAGACTGTCATCAGGCTGCTGAAAAAGTACTCCACCGCACTAGTTTTTGCATCAGTCCTCAATAGCTTACCCATTACAAGCTCACAGCAGCACTCACACCAAGCAGTTAAAATATAGTTTTCTGTTTCCAGTCTCAATCTTGGGAAGCAATTCCCTCATGTAAATTAGACCTGGCTTAAGATAAACTACCCAATCAGTCTGGTTTATTGTTTATGCATTATATAAGTTGCAAGCCATCCCTAGGAAAAAAAATCCAACTGTTTTGTAGATTTTGAGAACTATTGCTGAAGCAATGATGTTCAAACATTATTGCTTTTTCATCCTGCTGCTATCCATCTCTCCAGTGACTGCAATTTTGGCACTGCCCCCACAAACCCCTTCAGAAATGCAGCAAGGACTGAGACATTTCACTGTGTGCCAGCAGCAACTTCTCACAAGCTAAAACCAGGTAGTCTGAAGTGACGCAGAACAGTTTAACTGGGACTGGGTCTGATGATGGAAATGCAGAGATGTAGCTGTGGTCCTGAGTTACCCATCAGATTTGGAGATAGAGCCGGGGGAAGTCTGGAGGCAGACACAATCAAGGGCTGCAGACAACAGCAAGAAAGGATGCTAGTCACCTCCACAGGTATTGGGAGCAGGGAGAGGACCAGAAATGAGGACAAGTCTGGAGACGAGCAGCGTTAAGAGACTGCGAGGCATGACCAGTCCAGCAGGCCGAAGCAGAAAGGGTCCAGCCCCAGATGGACATATGGATCTGGTGTCACCCCAAGGTCTAATTTAGTTGCTCCTACACGTGCTCCTCCTTGCTGTTGAGGCCAGGTGACTGGGTGGGGGGAAAGGCACCACAGGACAGCAGAGCACTTGCTACTGCAGAGAAAAATATACCTCTGCCTTGGTGTCACTAAGCTCTCAGCTGTAATGCTGCTCTCATTTAGCTGCTGGAAAAGTACAACACGCAGAGTGAAAAGCCTGTCCAGATTCAGCTTTAAAGCATCTGCTTGACTTCGAGCGTGATCCTAAAGCTGGCTGGCTCCAAGGCTGGGCTTATGTGCTTCGATGGAGTCAGGCTTGGTGGGGGACTCTGCCCGATGCTGCACTGGTGCTGGGCAGAGCTTCCCAGAGGAGGTAAAAAGACCCAGAGCTGTGCCCTGGTTTCCAGATGCAAGAACTGGTCACTGAGGAAAGCTGGTGTGCATGGTGACTTGCTCAAGGTCACACAACAGGTCAGATGAGGGCTTGCAGAGCTACCAGTTCTGCAACACTGCAATCCCAAGTCCCGTTAGACCACACAGCCTTCATTGCCTCTGAAGTACAAATGTCCTAGCGTGAATTTCTTAATTTATTAACGAGGCATTAATTTGCCCTTAGCACAGAACCTCCAAGAAAGCCACCTCAGGGCTGGTTTCACGAGCAGAGCAGAGTCTCCCTGTGCAGCAAATCTGCATTAAAAGCTGCAAATTGGAGATAAAATTGGAAATTCCAATTTATATCCTTTCATTGAGCTGAATTGTAAACTTGCCCTATGCTACAGGGAAAGTAGCCTTGCCCAGAAAGAAGGATACAGAGAAGGATTCAAAAGGTCATCTGGATGCCTCCAAAAGATGGTATTCATGGGTCTGAAAGAGAAAGGTTTCTCGTAGGCAGGTGGTGGTGGGATCTGACATTCTGGAGAGAAGGCCTGCAGCAGTAACGTGAAGGAGACTAAATATCAGTAGATCTGCCAACTGGATCACAGGTAAGTCCCTTTTACTCTAAACCGCCCTCCAAGCTGCACAGCTGTATTTAGAAGGTTGAATTCTGCATGGGGAAGTGTCAGGTTGTGTTGAGGCCTCCCCCCTGACGTCTCTCGCAGGGCCAGCAGTGACAGGATTTGTTTTCAGCATCCTTGGGGGAGGAATGGAAATGGGAAATTCTCATTTGCAAAAAATAATTCATGAAGCTGCAGCCTCTGTTGGCTGCTACTGAACCATGCATATCGTTGTCCCTCATGCCATAAGGAGAAAATGAAACGACGAAACCAGGCAATCTCATGCTGGCACCCAGTGCCTGGTTACCCATCTCGGAACCGGAGCAGCAGTGCTCTGCACAGGGGCTTACATTTTGTTGCAAATAAAAAATACCGTAGGTTTTCTTGACGATAAAATGGCAACAGGCCAAATACTGAACAAAGGAGCTGCAGTTGGTTTGCTGCTTTCCTGCACCATCGTTTGGCCATGTGGTCCTTGGCCACCTTACTATATTTATCAGTAAAGTGGGGGAAAAACAGAATCTACTTCCCCAAAGATGCAACAGCAGGAGCTGTTTAACAGAAGCGTTACTGAGCAGGAACTGCGCAGGCGCTACCGGCATCCTTGCTAACGCCTGACCATAAATGAACGTGCTCTGCTTTTCGCATTCCGGGATCTCAGTGTGGTCAGGTCTGTGATCAGAGCAAATAGCTCTGATATTACCTTTCTCATAAAACCCCACCATTTGGCACAGCTCAGTGCTGCTGAAAGGCATGTCCCTAGCCTGAGCTACGTCTCTCTGATTAGACCTTTTTCTTTTCCTTCTAGTAATGGTTTCTTGATTATCAAGAACAGCCAGATACATCATTCCCAATGACTTCAGCTCCATTAGGGCTTTATCGGTGGCTCAGAGCATCTGATTAGAGGCAAGGATAAAACCTGGGCCATCCTGATGTCAACAGGATCCAGGGTTTCTCTCCATCTATGGTCCATCAGAGGCCATGTAAATCTGCACTGTGTGAGGGTGTGATTTGCTCCTAAGGAGATGTCTCCTTACAGAAGGGTCTCTGGGGAGTTCAGCCCAGTGCTTAGTTATGAAAACTGTTCTGAGGTCCCGTGTCTGCTGCTACTGATGGCAGTGATGTCAACGTGGCGCAACGCTAGCCTGACTGCTGATGTGCAAACATGCTTGGGACAGCACATCTGAAGTACCTTTACTGGGGCAGCATCTACCTACGGGCAGGGAACGGTGGCTCCCATCAGCCCAGCAAATGACACAAACCCTGTTAGGGCAACTCCTGGCTCCTTTTTACATGCCATCACCCACTCCATTGCCTAGCATGTAAGTTTGACAAAGAAGGTTCAGACATGCACTTGCAGTGGAGCACTTGGGACAATTTCTTCTTCACCACTGAGGATTCATAAGGGATTTTGCAGGAACCTAAACGCTCCCAGCTCATAAAGACATCTCAAGAAATGCACATCACAACAGCTTCATTAGCACTTGTTGTTTGGGTTGTAGTTAAAAACCTGCTATTTTTTAACTGGTGTTTATTGGGTGAAGAAACCTGTGAGGGAAGGACAGGACCTGGGGGCTGCATCAAACTACTTAGGTGCTTCTATATGAAGGGCTTGTTAATACAGAAGACTTTTTTTTTTTTTTACCTTGGCAATTTGCTCTGCCATTTGAAGACGTCCATCTAACTCGCGTCTGATCTGTGCTGCCTGCTCATCTGGGTTGTCCAGCTGTATAAAAACAAAAAGCAAATCAAGGTGGAAAATTAACCAATGCAGTACCTTTGCAAGCAGTTCAGTTCTTCAGGCTGACCATCTGTATTACATTATCAATTAAGTATAGAGCAGAAGGACTGGTGACAGGCTCTGGGACAGAGCCCCCCACAAAGGACGCACACAATGTTCACCACCCGGAGACAGACACAACCAGGGAACTGCGCAGACCCTGTTTTGATGCCTGCCCGGCTGCCTCCTGGGGCTGAGCATCCTCGCCCCGCGGTCTTACACCCACTTTGCCCTGTAAGCCAGTCTGGCAGCAAGCCTTCACAGTGACTACATGAACCTCTCAAAAGCGAGGTGCCCTCCAGAAGGCTATCGCTTCGCTGGTGCTTGAGAAGCCATAGACCCCTGTGCTGGGGCAGGACACACAGCAGCTCCGGATCACCAAACCAAACACCCCTGCCCCTGCTTGCCACCCAGAAAAAGACAGAAGGCAGCTCTGCAGAAATGCACAGCAGTAGCATTTGCTTATTTTCTTTCCTTTTTCCCCCATATGGCTGCATCCCTGTGCTACCACCCAATTGGTGCAATTGTTTTTCTTGTGGCCTTCAAGCAGAAATTTTTTTTTTTTTTCAACACACTGCCCACAACCCTGTGGTTCAGTGTTCAGCGTCTGCCTGCCCCTGAAACATCTTCTGAGGGTAAAATGTTGTTTCTGCCGGTTAAAGCAAGCCATTACAGCACACATGGAAGAGGCACGGTGACTGCTGCAAACAGTTTCCTGTTGGTAGGACTCGAGGCAGATCCGTTATTTTTAGTGGGCATACACAGACATAAATTACAGAACAACAAAAACGCACAAAATCAAACTAGCCCCCAAGAAGTTGATGGCTGCTGTAACGAGTTGGCAATTTTATAGCTGCTTTCCAGACTCTAACCACTCTTTAGTCTCCTCTGGGGTCATTTTGGTCATGGCACAAGGCTAGAAACATGCGGCAGCGGGGTGGTCACAGCACCGCTCCACCCATGAGGCACAAACCCAAGCTCAGCCTGGTGCAAAACCTCATGGTTTTGGTTCACCTCCTCAAGCAAACATGACTTCAGGTGGGATGGCTGGCTCCTCCATCTAAATGCCACCTTCATTTTCAAAGTATCGGCCCCTTCTGGCTACCGGCAAATGCAATTGCCACAAGCTGCCATAGGTCACCGACTGCTACACAAAACTGAGTTTTGTACGCTGGCTTGGTGTTGCCCTAACCACCTCCCTGGGTTTTATTCTCCTCTGGAGACAAACTGCTCGAGAGAAGAAAGGCTCGGCTGGTGCAGTGCGTTTTGGAACATTACAGCTACAGCGACGATGAAAGTTTTGATTCTCAGCCTGACGAACATTGTCCGTTAGTGCTCCCTGGATGGGCTGAAATACGCCGCTTTCCCCCCAGACCCACCGCTTTCCACAGCAGCTTCTCGGCCGCCCGCCTGCGCATCCCGCATCGCCTTTCTCTCGCACGCGCGTAGATCTGCACACGTGCAGGCGTGTACTTGTATACTGCTTCGCCACTGATGATTTTCCAGAGAGCTGACACTTGTAACGGCTGAGATCGAGGGAAGTATATTTTTGATTAGTTTTTGAAAGCCTTTGTTACTGATTTAATTCAAGCAGGAAAACTACAAACTGTCCTGACCATGATCCAAATCCACTGAAGCTTCAGTGATCTCTGCTGTGGCCACCTGGGCTTCAGTCACACCAGCTGCACCACATAACCTGCTGCCTTCATCTTCATATTCCTGATCCCAAAAACAGTACAGAGCCATGGACCACCAACGTCTTTCGGGATCAGCTGCCCCCATTAATTTCTCCATGAGCAAATGCATCACACAACCGACCTCCGCTCAGAGCTGCTTTCTTAAGGGTAGGAACTGTACAGTTCCAGATTTCCCTTTCTGTGCAACTCGGAAAAAAGGGGCATTATCTGAATTCCATCCAAGATACAGTAATTGAGGTTAATCACATGCTACCCAAAATAACTCACGTGCTAAATTTGGAAACCAAGGATGCTGCTGTGGAGGAGCGCTGTTTTTGCAGTATGATAATGAGCCAGCAAACTGCCTCACACTCCCTGCACTATCTTGATTTTGCAGATGTTTTCCAGCGATGCTACAGGTGTCAAAAACCATGTCAAGGAAGGATCTGACTGCAGAAGACTATTTTTCTTAGGAGGCAACAAGCACCCTCAGCAGTCTCCTTGGTCATGGTCGAGTGGGTGAGGTGCTCCTTTTCAGGGCTATATGCTGCTGTGCTTCCCAAGGTTAATTAGTGATGCCAAGCCAGGTAACATGGTATTTAAAGGAAACGAAAAAATCTTCCCAGGCTGTATTTTCAAAGATTCTGCATGATAGCTCCATGGCAAAACCTGATCTTTGGGAAAGCAATCACTGAAAACAGAACATTTTCTTGTTATCTACAGAAGGGCACTAATGAGGCAGCCCCTGCCCGCAGCCCCTGCCCAGCCTCCTGGCACGTTCAAGTAGACCTCTCGTGACCAAGAGTAGCAGGGCCAGCAGCTCAGCCACTTACTGCTCCTGAGCCTGGGAAGGGCTCCTGCTGCCATCAAAGCAAGACGAGTACCTTTTACACAGTCATAACACTATATAGAGCCATTAAGAGAGTAATCTGGTGCCCATAAAATATACTTTGCTTGTGAAATAAGGCAAGGGGAAATGTAAGGCATGCTATCTAAGCAAGACCAAATGTCCAAGTAAGGCAACACAGACCCTAATATCATTAAAACTCAATTTTTTAACTAGAGAATCAGCTATTTATTTTCAGCCGTATGCATGCCCACTTTATATTCCAATACTTGACAGCCAAATATATAAATGATTTACAAAGTCAAGAAGAAACTGAATTAGTTTCGTTCTGCATTATGACTATGTTATGGGTGTGCTATGAATAAAGCAAAGTTATAAATCATAAGGTTGCCCCAGTCAATTAAATGTGAAAAGTATTATAAATTTCAATATATATAAAATTTGGCATATGCACTGGGCTTTTATTCAGCAGCATGCCACAAATATATGACGTACATAATTTGCAATTCTGAACTGATCATTACCCAACTGCCTGCTGGTAAATTAGATGTTTTCATACATCTACCCGCATATGACATTAGTCTGCTTGCCCTGCAGAGTTTATCTACATTGGTGTAACAGTCGCTAAAGTAAAACAATAAAATAAAAATAAAATAACGTAGATCAGATTCTGAGTGGGCCCCAAAATTTTCCAGCATCACAGCCAGCCCGCCGCTGAAGGTATTGCAGGCATGTGCCTACTTTAGCCACAGGTGCCATTCAACTGCAGGAAAAAGATCTTACAAAAGACAGGTTTTTTTACATATAAGCTGCTCATAAGGGATAATTTTTAATGGGCAGTACTAAATGAAAGAGGTTTAAATGTTCATTGTACAATTTTGATAGTTTTAATCACCGGTAAAAACCAGCCACCTGCCTGCAGAAGAATCCTTTTGCTTCCACAAGCCTGAAACAAATTAACTGCGAGACTTTTCCTCATGTTATCCCAGGGGGATGGAAGGTAATGTCTCTACACCCTTGAAAGGCAGAGGAAGAGGCAAACCAACCAACCGAATTAAGTCATAAGACCTGCAGTAAGACACATAAGCACCCACCAGATCCACACCTAAACTGGTCGTGTGTCGGACACCTCCTGGGTATCACCCAGCCTAAGCCTTGCAGTTTTTAAAGCGAGGAGCCCAGGCTCACCTTTTGGAGTCAAAGCATTAGATATTTAATGCTCCAGGTTCAGTTTCTCACAGCTTAAAGCCAAACCATGACGACCGCAGCCCTGGCTCCAAACGTCATGCTGGGGCAGTGCAGGCTGCCCTCCTCTTCCCTTCTTCGTGATGCCCAAAGCCGTTTTGCTCAGTTTCAATCCTCAGACAAACCTGCCAGGTCGGGGACTGAGCAGGGCACGGCCCTCATGTCGTCGGCCGCAGCGAGAGGGCTGCAGCCAGGGCTAACCCACCCAGCCTGGGGACGATGCCGGCGGCACAAGTGACGTGCCGCACGCAGAACTCAGCTGGTCGGTAAGAGAGGAGTGGATCCAGCCATGCCACCAAACGCGTGTTGATGGGGCACGCTTCCGACAGACACAGGCGAGTTAAACATGGTGTGGGATTCATACCCACGTTCTGAGCTCAGCGCTGTTGGAAATAACGTTGTTGTAAGACACGAGGGTTTATAATGAAATAACATCGTTGCCAGCTACGAGGATTTATAATGACAGGATGCAACGTACAGATACAACCTTCAGCGATCAGCCTGGCATTTACACCACGCGCGGCGGATGTGACAGGTATTGTCAGTATAATTGCCATCAGCGCCAGCCGGAAGGCGCTGGGACCATGTAACATCCCTCCCTGCCAGTCATTGCTAATGCCGGTCCCCGGTTCCCAGCCAGGGCAGCGAGCGTCACGACATCCCCGTTCCTGAAGCATAACGGGGGCCTCTCTGAAGGTATCTCCGCTCCCTTTGAGAAAGGTTATGAGACGGTGGTGAATCCAGCCGTCCTCCCCTGTGCCACACACTCCTGCAGAGGACAAGCCATTTGCAATGAGGTTCTGGAAAACCACATTTTAAATGCTCTGGCAATGCAAATGCTGAGCTGCAGCAACCTGCTTTGTGCTGCACTAGGAATGGAAACAAACCTGGGTCTTCACCTGCTGGAAATGAAGTATTTAGTCCAGGTATCCATGAAATCCGCAGCCACCGCCTGTGCCAGTTTTCCCCTGCGGCAGCATCAACACCCGGGGACGGGCGATCCCCGCTGCAGAGCCAAAGGCAGACGCAGACGAGCTGCTAGCGAGCAGGGACTGCCTTGGCTGGGGGCACTGTCAGCGGTCTCTGACATTTATTTTCTCCGTCCCTGTGTCCAGCATGCCACCATGCAGCTGAGGGGGCTGAAAACCCCACTTTGTGAATTATTTTCCCTGGGTAGA